CCCCCCCCCCCCCCACCCCTTTACCACCCTCATTGTAAAATTCCCAAGTACATGTAACGTTACTTTAGAATCTCTATCTCAAAATAGCCACCCCATATTAGTACAAGTAACGCAACAAATGATTTGCAAACCTGTAGATGATCTGCAAAGCGATATGCTATAGTAACCGTTCTGTAAAAACAAAATTGCCAGTTAACAAGAGGAGCATTTCGTTCTTGTTCACTTTCTTTGTCCAACTTGTCCGAGCCATTCTTGTCCAGTAATGTATTTTGTATCTCACAGCTGGCTGTGCCGAGAACTGTTCGAAAAAAGTCGTTATCTTATTTATATTACTATTACTGTCAATATCATTCACGTTTTGTTGGCTTTCATCAGACTATTTCTACAAAGCTATTCTTTTCCCATCTACAGAAAAACAAAGTCATCTCTATGCAAGTTTGTGTATAAAGCATCTTGGCATTTATGATGTCCCAGATGAGCGTGTTATTGAACTATCATAAAGAAAGATATTTTTAATTTCAATTTTAACTTTCCATACCTGATAATAATTTAGAATTGATATCTAGATAGCTTTGAAGTAAATGCTAATGGTATCAATCTACTTTATTATTTTATTGACTGCTCTATTTTATTTGGCCGACATATTTATGCCCTAAAGAAGGATACCAACCAGGCGGCTTCATACTAACACCGATTGTAATTTTCCCAAAAATGATTATTTTTGCTTCAACATGGTGATGAAAAACGCCACAAAGGTATAATTTAGTCTAAACTGCAAATGTTTCCTTCTACCTGCCGTATAGTCTGTAAGTTTTCTGATGTGTTCAAGCAAGCAAACAGTTGTTAAAAGAAGTATAGATAAAAACCATGCCCATATCTATTGAATGTACCTGAAAAGTGGTGAATGACATTTTCAGACTCTAGACTATATTTAGGCCTAAATACCGCTCTGGTTAACGTGAATATCAGTCAGGTTAGCCTGAATAGCGCTCGGGTTAGCCTGTTTACGGTTAGTTCTCGGTAATGGAAATGGGACTGAATGCGATATAAGTAAAAAGTCTGCAGTTTTCAGTATGGCAGCCTGCAATCTGCAGTCTGCAAATGTCATACACCATATGAAAAGAAATTAAATTTGACTATTCTTTAATATAAAGTATATAAGGAGCATATTGATAATTAAATTGATATAATACTTCAATAAATGCCCTTGGCATTTGATTGTGCCATGACAATTAAGCAGGAGTCCATAACCAGGAGAAGTACTTCGGCGAGGCCGTCTATGCCCAGAATGAGCTTTTATTAGAACACAAGTAGTTATGACGGAGATTACGGCTTCTCGAAAAAATTCAGTTAGGACAAAAACAACGGACCGTCACTTAGGCCCCGCCCACACTACACCGGAGGAATCTGAAAACGCAACAATCACTGGTCATTTTGGATATGTGTTCGAGTAAATCTCGGCGAGGGAAATATAATGGTTATCGTAACGTCATCGTTTACGAAAAGCTTCGTTTTAAAAAAGTTTTCTGTCCACACCAAAACGCAAAGCTGGCGTTTTCAAATTCCTACGGTTACAAGAGCGTTTTCCGAAAAGCTCCGTTTTCGTGACG